CTGAAGGCATCGTTGCTGCCGCAGCTCACACACTCAGCTCACACACAACAACAGTTTTCATTGATTACTTCCGCCGAATTTCTTCTTCGTCTGATGAATTTCCAGCAGCTTGCGGACTGAAATGTAGTGCTGCCCTCTACAGACAGGAGTGTGTTGGACCCGATCTGCGATCTTTTTAGACGTTTGAGACTGAAGATTAAAATAAATAATAAGTAAAAATGAAGAAATTCAAAGAAAACTTTCACCAGTTTACAACAAAACAAACTAACAAGCAAGAAAAATTGACAAAAAAGGGCAAGAAGCACAACAACAAACTGCAAAAACAAACAAAATAACAACAATAACAACAATAATAATACATTTTAATTGAAAAATGACCACTAATGGTACATTTCTGGTAGTTTAACATTATAAAGGTTTTGGAGAAAATTGCAAAATAACAAGAAGGAAAATTTTAAATATTTGGAAACATTATGAGAAAATGTTTGTACATGTACAAGAAAAATGGCGTCGAGTGGGCGTATTTAGGAAAAAACAACTCTGACAAAAAAACCCAAAAAACAAAACGTTTTCCAAATTTGTTTCTAATTTTAAATTTGAGTTAATGTTGAGTTTGTTGATTTTTACACTGTTCTGTTTCCATGATTATCTCACTGTTTTTGGTTCTGTGTGTGTGTAAATGGTAAATGGACTGATTCTTATATAGAGCTTTTCTACTCTCCCGGCGTGCTCAGGGTGCTGTATACAACATGGCACATTCACCCAATCACACCCATTCTCACAAGCACTGACTCTAAACTGAGTGTTTTTCTAACGACGTTCGCACACATTCACACTCCGATGGATGCACCAGAGAGCAACTTGGGGTTAGTATCTTGCCCCATACTTGGCATGCAGACACACACACACTTTCTCGTGCAGCCTGCATTATCTGAATGTAACTGTGCTTCTTCTTTTAGTGGTTGTGAGCTTCAGCTGCTTCAGGTCTGCCTGGTTGTTGGTTCAGGTCTTTGTGCTTGTGCTGCTGATCGTCCTCCTTCTGTCTCGGGCTGTTTTTATGTCTCGGTCGCTCTGCGTTCATGTTAGGTTTAGTCTCCTCTGATTATTTCCTGTTTGACTTTGAAGTTTGATTTTCTTTCATGCAGTGTGCTGGTTTGACTTCCTGCCCTGTGATTTTCCTGATTGTTTCCACCTGTGGTTTAATAAGCTGTGTTTGAACAGCTCAGTCTTCAGTTGGCCTCTGTGCTGCCAGTTAAGCTCCACGTGTGGTGCTCATGTTTTAGATGATCATGTCTGCAGTTTTGGCCTCTGTTGCAATATAAACACACATTTCAATTATAAAGGGCAGTTTGTTTGAACAGGAGATTTATGTGACTGCAGCTGAAGAATAAGGAAAACCTTGTGAAGCTTTAACAGGTATTTTTACTGGACTTGGGCAGCTGAGGCCCTTTTGAGGTCAACTTTAAGCCCTTTGAATAAGCAGATGTGCTCTGGAGTGAACTTAATGTGAATTAATTTGCTTTCATGTCATGTTGTTCACAAACAAATCATTTGAGGTCATGTGATACATGCGATCTGTAACTGGACAGTAAGTAAAATGTTGCAGATTAGACTCTGATGTCTGCACCGTGGGGATGTTTTACCTTTACTGTAACTGACTTTACTTCTGTATCTGTGCTCGTTTCTTCCCTCTGCAGTGAAATAATCAAAGACATCGAAAACTGTGGGAAGAAATGATCCTGTGATCATCTCCCTTTGTTCTGCTTCCTGCTGATTAGTAAACAAAAGCTTCTTGGAAACACACACATGAAACTCCTCCTCATGGTTACTGCAGTGTTGCTGTTAAACTCTGATGGTTCTGGGTTTGTTGTGCTTCTCGTTGCCGTCCTGGGTCCCTCTTCCTGTTTTATTTGAGCGATTGCTTCTCCTCACATGCCTGCCCTGTCTTCCCTTCCTCTCTTTGTCTTCCCTCCTGTGTGATTGCCGCCCCGCCTTGATTGTCTGCAGCTGTGCTCGGTTCCCAGCTGCGTCTCGTTGTGTAATCAGTCCCGTGTGGTCTCGTCTTTCCCTTTGTGGAGAGATGTTTTTGCTCCGTGTGCTTGTTTGTGCATTCCTCTCTGCTCCATCTTTCTCTGGGTTTCAGTCTCCTGCTCCCTTAACAAATGTATTAACTACTCAAAGTTAGCATTTAGTTTGGATCTTGATTTATTTTAATGGATTTGTTTGAAAATCTGATCACTCTCCAGACTTTATTACAAGGCTGAAACTGTTTTGTGACTCGTGATGGTTTTAGCGCAGCATATTCTGTCTTTGACAGTGTTAGAGGAATCTGGATGAATGGTTCCCAAAAAACAAATTCCCTCCTGTTTCTCGTCCTCGATGGAAAACATTAAGGTGAAGGAAAGATGCGACTGTTCCGATGCAGCGTGCCTAATGCTGTGTCGGTGGATGTTGTTGATGTGGGTCCATTGTAATGAAACTACAACATCCTGAGGACCAGATGAGATCCTCCGAGCTCACCTGTGTGCTGTTACAGGCTTTATCAGTTTACTGCTGGCAGCTCAGCCATGCAGGGCGTGTTTCTGGCCGTGTCTTCATGCAGTATTAACACATCAAGATTATTCAGATTTACTTAACGTCAAAAACAGCCCATAGAGAGAAATCAGATGTTTCTCACATTCTGGTTATTGCACTTCCTGTCCGCTCATCTCCTGCTGCAGAGACCCAGCACAACCTCAGGAAGGACTTCAGCCACGATGAGCCTGAATGCTGGTGAACCCTAAACCCACAGATACTTTTATACAGCTCAATCTTAACAAAGTAAGATTAAATTAAATCGCACAACACAACTTTACAAGAAGCAGACTTTATTTATATCACAATATGACGATCATACTTCAGCTGAGGGTTCATCACAGCCTGTAAGGGTCAAACGAATCAGAATAAAATGGAAAACGCAGGATTAACATTTTCATGATCTGAGCCGCGTCGCTTGGTTCGATCGCTCGTTTCCCGAAACGGGACGGCATCGTCTCGTTTTCCTAAAGCAGGGGTGTCGACCTCCAGGCCTCGCGGGCCGGTGTCCTGCAGGTTTTAGATCTCACCCTGGGTCAGGGTTAGTTAGGGCTAGGTTGATTAGTTAATTACCAGCCCTCATGTTAATGAGATAATTCAGCCATTTAAATCAGCTGTGTTGGATCAAGGACACGTCTAAAACCTGCAGGACAGCGGCTCTCGAGGCCTGGAGGTCGACACCTGTGCCCTGAAGGATCCTCTGCTGAAGGACGTAGTGAAGGAAGCACTGTATGACCTTTCCTTAGTATCCGGAGAATTCAGCCACCTCTGCTGATGCTGCAGAAACTTCCATGGCACTTAATGCACAACACGTCTGTATCACCACGCCGTTTCTGTGGCCGTCCTTCCACTGGGAGCACTTTCATACTTCAGATATTCTGACCACACCTTCACGCAAACTCTGACCTTTTGCTTACAGCTCAGATATCCTCATGCGGCTGCAGACGAAAGCAAACATAATCCGGACAGAGGAAGATAACGTTTGTACCTACGGTCAGCAACGCCTCGTAATTCTAAAACGATTCAAAGTTGACGCAGTCACAGAACACACAGGAAGACAATGTGTCCAAACAGCCCACATGTAGCAGAGGTAGAGAGCTATGACGTGACACACGTGATGTGTTTTACTTGTACAAAGATGAAACCGTTTTCCCTTTCAGTCCTGAACACTTCGGGACTTCTCACTTGTGCCTCTTTTTGTGAAAATTCATCGTCGAGGCGTCCCGAAATCTTTTCCCGCATATGTCGCAGGGAACGGGCTTCTCGGCGGCGTGAGTCCTCGTGTGGCGCAACAAGTCGTTACTTTGGCAGAAACTTTTGCCGCAAATTTTACAGGAATGTGGTCTCTCGCCGGTGTGGATCCTCATGTGGGACGCCAAATTATCCTTCCGACCGAACCGCCTCCCGCAGAAGCCGCAGATAAACGGCCTCTCGCCCGTGTGGGTCCTCATGTGCAGGATCACGCTGTCCTTCCGAGTGAAACCTTTCCCGCACACGTTACACGAGAACGGCTTCTCGCCCGTGTGAGCCCTCATGTGGATCTCCAGATTAAAGCGTTTACGAAAGTGTTTCCCGCATATTTTGCAGGGATACGGCTTCTCATCCGGGTCGCTTATGTCTTGTTGCATCATCAGAGGTTCATTCCTAAAGCCTTGCATGTAAACAGGGCCGCTAAATATCAGGCCGTTGTCCACGTTGTTGTACATCGCTTGCACAGCCGATCCCGAGTCCACGTGGTTGCCTCTGTCCTGACGTCGGCTCTCGGCCACGGGAGAGCTGTGAGAGGGGAGCTGCTCCCGCTCCGGTTCTGGGTCGCTGTCGTCACTTTCCCCGTACGTAACGGTCACCATGATGGTGTCCCCGTCCTCGTCCAGAACGAGCAGCTCTCCCGCCTGACTGATGCTGAGCTCCTCCTCCTCCTCTTTGATCCGTCGAGCTGCTGGTTCCTCCTGGTTCAGGCTGGAGTCCCTCTCCTGGTTCACGAGAACCTCCTCATCCTCGGAGAGGCGTCGCGGTCGGAGGTCTGGAGGGACAGAATGACACGAATGTGATGACAGAAAAACACCGGAGAAATATTTCACTTATAATTATTAGAGCTCTGCGGGGTAACGTATGTGCAAATGATCAAATAAGATAATAGCTCAGGACTCAGAGAGCAGCTTCTGTCTCCATAATTCGGTGGAGAAACGAGCTTTAGGGCGACGCCGCCGTCTCAAGCTTTGTGTTTGCACAACAAGACTGACATCACGTCTCTGCCCGCTTGTTCAGCCTGATGTCCAGAAGCTGCTTCAGAAATCCGCCTTCAGCTTCCACCAGGAAACAAAGTGACTGTAAAACCAGTGACGTGTAACATCCAGGCATCCGCGAGGAGGCTTTTCAAAGTTTATTTAGTCAGCTGACGTCTAAAGATGATCTGTTAGGATTAACTTTGCTATGACTGCAGACATAACAAGGACACAAGGTGGGAGTGGAGCTGGGAGATCAGCCTGGGGAAAATCTTCCACTGCGGCTGCTGGAGCAGGACTACCAGCCGACTTTGAGGCCACTCAGGCGGGGGAAGCGGTTCTCTGCCCACACTCCTGACGTCAGCTGGAGAGGAAGGAATGCTTGGATGATCTCCTGAATCCCACTCTCTAGTTTTTCTTCCACTCCTCAGGAGCAGCTGCAGGGACTCTGAAATGAACCTGTTTGCATGATCGCCGACAGAAATCAAACCTCAAAGACGGCGTCTGCTCCAAACTGGCTGCTCGTGGGTTAAAAAACACCAGTGACCGCAGGGATTGGATCTGCATGTTTATTCTGTGGAAGAGTGGCACACACAGTAACAGAACACTGGCAGAGCATGTGGGACTCAGCGCCCTTACAATCCTCCACAAAAGTACAGAGAAGACGACAACGCAACACGACAACCGTGAAAGCAGCAGAAGAGAGAACAGACACACAGCCCGGCTCGCTCTGATTTCACAACCACGTTAGACCCAGACACGCGTCAGCAACGAGCCCGCGCTCTGTTTTTACGCAGTTTAAAATACAGACGTGAATATTAAAGTTTCAGATGAGCCAAAGGAGAGAGAGCGACAGCTAATCTGACGCTACGAACAGAACCAGCTCGTCTGTGCGACGATCTTAACGAGCTGCTTATTAAAAAAGATCCTAAATATCCTCAGTTTCAGTTCGTTTGGTAAAAACGTATCGGCGCTTGTCTGATGAGGCGCCGATGAAAGTCTGGAGATCTGCAGCACTGAGGCTACGTCCACACGTAGTTTTGAAGATGCAGCTCTTTCTCTGCGTTTGGCCTTTCATCCACCCCCCAAACGCCGTTTGGAGCACTGAAGACTGAGACTTAAACTCCTCCCAGGGTGGAGATTTTCAAAAACTCAGTTTTTGTGTTTACGTGTGGACGAGAGATTCAGTCTTGCAGCGCCTTTTGTTTACATGATGGGTTTCTACAGTGGTGCAGACAAACTGTTGGTGTTAGTCGTGCTGCCTGCAGTATTTACACGCTTTCTTGTTTTTTGCTGTTTCCAGTGTGATGTTGAGGAATAATGTCTGTCCACACGTACGACTCGTTTCTTTGTTTACTCTTTCCCTCCCGGCCTTCAAGACTTCTGATTGGCCGACATTTCTGCATGGTTAGGATTTGGCATGTTCTCGACAGCGTTTGACTTCATTTTTTGCGTTTACATGTGGACGGAGATCTCAAACATGCACGTGTGGATTTTATACTTTTTTGTTTTTGTTATTGAAAATGGAAAATCTCCATTTAGAAAAATACTTGTGTACGTGTGGACGTAGCCTGAGAATCGCCGCTTTTAAAAGGTTATTCTTTCTAATACCTGTACTGATGTTCAGTCTTGCCTCTGACACCCTCCGTACAACAATAACGGGCAGCCAATCAAAAAAAAGTCAGCTTATAGGGAGGCAGGACGATCTCGGACGCTGCATCACAGCTCGCTGTCAGGTGAAGATCGCTTTGAGCAGAGAATCATGCAAAGCCACTGTAACAGCGTCACACAGGGAACGCACTCGGCCGTCGGTGCACCGTCGCTGAATGTTTAAGATTTCAGAGGCGGCGACCCGGGTCAGCGTCGGACACTAAATACTAGAACAAAAGCGATACTGTGAAAGCTACAAATGCAGTGCTGCTCGGGCCAAAGCCAGCTTTTATGACTCCGCCCTGCTTATTACCCCGGAGGGGGCGTTTTCACCCCGGCCCCCTGCTGAGATTTCAGGACGACTTCTCGTCTGTGTGAGTCCTCGTGTGGCGCAACAAGTGACTGCTCTGAGTAAAGTTCTTCTCACAAATTTTACAAGAGTAGCGCTTCTCGCCCGTGTGCGTCCTCATGTGGATCAGCAGCGTCCCGCTCTGACAGAAACGCTTCCCGCACGCTTTGCAGGAGTACAGCTTCTCGCCCGTGTGCGTCCTCATGTGGACGGTCAGGCTGCCCCTCTGAGTGAAGCTCTTCCCGCAGGTTTTGCAGGAATGCGGCCTCTCGCCCGTGTGGATCCTCGTGTGGCTCTTCAGGTTTGACGTGCAGATGAATCTCTTCCCGCACGTTTTACACCCGTACGGCTTCTCGCCCGTGTGGATTCTCATGTGGACCAACAGACTGTCGCTACACCTGAACTTTTTCGCACATATTTTGCAGGAGTACGGCTTCTCGCCCGTGTGAGTCCTTTCGTGATATTTCAGTAAGTATATCTGATAGAACTTCTTCCCGCAGGTGCTGCACGCGAACGGCTTCTCGCCCGTGTGGATCCTGACGTGTCTTTTTATTTGGGACTTATCCTTAAAAACTTTCTCACAAACGTAACATTTCAAAGGCTTTTTACCTGCGTCCGTATTACCCTGACTCTCTGACATGGGAGCGCGCTCTGCACTGTCACTTCTGCTTTTAGCGAGTCTCTTCGTTGGCTTTGGCTCTGCGTCTGCGCCCGATCCCGAGGCTGCGTTCGTGCTCCCTTCCTGATCTCGGCTCTCGGCTGCAGGCGGGCTGTGAGACAGGAGCTGCTCGCTGATTGGCTCTGTTTCACTGTCACTTTCCCCGTAAGTAAGAGTCACCATTAAGGTATCGTCCTCCTCCTTCACTATAAGGTGCTCTGCCTCGTAGGCGGTGCAGAGCTCCTCCTGCTCCTCTTTAATCTGCAGAGGCGCTGCTTCCACCCGGCTGGCGTGGAGTTCTTCCAGTTCCTCTTTAACCTGCAGAGGTTCCTGCTCCAGCCTGGAGTTCCCCTCCTGCTCAGGAAGAACCCGTTCCTTATTACAGTCATGTTGCTGAGGAGGATCCAGCTTCAGGCTGGAGGTCTCCTGTTCAGAAGGAGCCTCGTCCTTATTACGATCATGTTGTGACTCCTGCTCCAGGCTGGAGAGCTTCTCCTGCTCTGTAGGAAGTTTCTCCCTGTTGGAGTCATGGTGCTGTGGGAGGCCTGGAGGGACAGAGAGAGAAAAGGAAGGTCACCGGTGCGATGACAGAGAAACATCTGCTCATACACACAACTGGAATTTAACAATAATCAACAGATAATCGGCTTCATGTGTGTCATTTGCAAAGCTCAGAGTACAAAATACTTTTAGCTGCACGTCCCCATTTTTGACCCACAAACTTTACCTCCTGTCAGGTGTGTTTTATCCTTTTAAACTTTATTGATCAATAATTCTGTTTGAGATCAGTCTTTTCTGAGAGAGTCCCAGGAGCACAACGACCACACAGCAGCAGAGTGTGTGCACATCGATGGCTGAATGTAGTTCATGACTGGAAAGAGTCAGACAGCATTAACGTTTCATGCACCAACTTCAGCTCTGAATGCAAGTCTGTGATCAAGTCAAAATCCCAGGCATTAGTAACTGCAGGCTGCTGTATGCAGCACATGTAGTTTTCTGCATTTAAACGAGTCCTCGAACGCATCACCAGCAGACCGTAGAGGAGTGCAGATCTGAGCCGGAAAGGCTCAAAGATATTTCAAATTACTGGGTCAGCAAAAAGGCAGCGATTACAGTTCTGATAAGGAGCAATTATAGGATTCATGTACCAATAAAGATGGACGTGTGTCTCTGTGAGATCCAACCGTGACTGAGCTGAGGGCGAAACCATCAGCAGGGTTCAAATTTCAGGGATCTCAGGCTTTTCAACCACAGACTGCTTGTTTGGTTGACGTGGCTCAGCTGTCAGTAAAAGGAAAGTAAATACTGGAACAGAAAAACCAGGTATGAGTGTGGTCTGCATGTCACGGATGTTCTTCCTCAGCTGATTCGGGGGTGTACTGACTGACTGGTGTTTTTAAAGAAACTGGTACCGCTTTGATTCCTCATTTAGCTTTACTTCCTCTTATCTGAGCTCACAGAGCTGCTCAATAATAAAAACAGGAAGGTGACCACGAGCAGAGCTGCTGCTGCTAACAGTGTCAAGCCCGTTTCCTCATTCGGCTTCTCATTAATCTCCAGACACTGATTCTCCGGCCTCTCCATTCAACGCTTTCATTCACGACACATTAACGACGACGTGTTTGTCGCAGAGTAATGCCTTCAAATGTGATTCTTTCCTCTCTTGCTGCTATTTATAGGCGCTGCTCTGTCTTCAAGCAGGAAGTGGAAAATAAACAAACTCCCTGGTGTCTCTTTTTGTTTCCTTCCTCTTTCCTGAGCTGCAGCTACACTCTCCTCTCTGAGCCACCAAACAATCAGCAATCAGCGCTACAGCGGGTGGCTCGCACTATTAATCATGCACGACATCAAATGACATCAAACCCCCGTCGCAGCTGCAGGAACCAACAACACGAGCGACTCTTCAAACAGAGGGATTCTTGGACTGACGCTTTGATCATGTGTTTGTTTGCATTTTCATGGACATCTGTACAAAACCATCCTTTCCATCTGTTACAGATGCGCCTCCTAAGTGCTTAGTGTTTCCTTCCATTACTGACAGCACGTTGGTCACATGAGACCTCCCACAGTCCCCTGTGACAATCCCACAGGTGAGGCTCTATTGAGAAAGACATAAGAGTGTTTCATAGATGTATATTTGAAAAATGAGAGCAAAGACCGTCACAGATTTTGGGTACGTTATGAACAGAAACGTGGTCTTTCTAAAACAGCTGGTTTTGGTACACGGTGTCATAACTGGGGAATATCACACAGGCTGGATGAAAGTGTTTCCATATTCAGGCTTTAATAAAGAAGACATGCGGCCGACTGTTTAAAAGAATATTTTGCGCCGTGTGTATAAAAGTTAAAAGTATAAAAGTTTTTTGCTTCTCTCTTATTCACACTGCACAGCAGGAAGCTCCACGGGTCTGATTTACAGACTTTACACTGATTCTTGGTGCAACCCTGAAGGGATTCGGGTCTCATGCCTGGGAGGACGCGTACATGTCTGTGCCATCCGGGTCATTGTGAAGCACATTTTCACACACGACTCATGTAACGTCCCTCAGGACTGTCTCACAGGGGACAACCCCCACTAAGGGTTACATGCCTCCACCGTTTGCTGTAGAACAAAAACTGGAGGGGTTCATTCATAGAAGCAGCTATGTACCCTGAACCCTGTGAAGGACCGAGCTCAGGGCCGTTATAGATGCTGGAATCTTACACAGCCTCCCTCCAACCCTTCAAGGATGTTTGAGAGCACCAATGGCAGCAGGGCCCTGACACTTTGCAGACAGTCAGAGGTCGAACTTTCACCGGGAATTGTTTTCAGGTGAGAGGTATTTAATGACGTGACCCTCTGCCCACTCTGGCCCCAGCACTCCTGCTCCATCAATCACCCCGCGCGTAAAAGCAGAGCTGAACGCGGATCGCCACCTCGCTGTCCGCTGACAGCGGCTCTAGCCCGGCCCAGCTCTGCGTGCTGCTGGGCCCACGGACTGTGTGCCGATCACAGCCATGTTAGTTCGGCCTCACTCGTTTCTTCCCGCAACAATCCAAACCCCGCAGGAAATACACGGCCTACTGCCCCGCAGCTCGTGTTCAACTCCTGGCTGAGTAAATGTGCCGTGGAGCTCCGGTTAGGATCCTCCGTGAAGTGTTTTTCTCGCTGAGCGTGGACTCACCTATTCTGTGGAGCTTTATCTGAGGCTTCCAGGTGATCTCCAGCAGTCTGCGCTGACGGTCGATCACTTCCTCGTACTGGACGATCGTTTTTTCAAACTCCAGGAATATTTCTTCGGCAGCAGCAGTTAGTCGGCCGTTAATAAACCGTCTCAGGTCCCGATGTAAGGTCGTCATTACTGCACCTGCGGAAACACGGGCCTGAAACAGGGTAAGAAAGAAAACCCCACCGCCTTCCACTCCAGCCCTCAGAGGAGTTCAGCTAACAATAAACCTTGAGTGGGTTTTCTTCTTCTCCTGGAAGACTAAACTCAGCGCAGGCGCACCGCTGCCCCCTGCAGGTCATTTGTAGACATACACTGCGTGTGTCACCCCGCATCACAGACGCATTTGGGCGACTTGTTGCACTTCTGGCTCAGTCACGTTTGGCCTGAGTGAAAACTGCATTAGGCCAGTTTCTCCTGTCACCCAGTCTTAGTCTAGTTTCCACTGAACCGGCCCACTGAGAACCTGCTTTCACTTCCCTCCCTCCACTCTTGAAGCACCAGAAGCTGCAGTTAACTGTAGTAATAACAGAGCATCCAGGTAGTCCTGCTGAATGACGTTCTAGGATTTTATGTGGATGTTAGTGAGCACTGATTATCAAGTATTTGTGTGATGTTGTGTGATCACATGCAGGCCAGAGATGCAGCTTAGTGCATTATTTATTAATGATCTGGGTGAACAGAGCGATAATACTCAGATGGTGCACTGTTCAAAAATGTGAGCCAGCTTAAACTCTGAGTTGAGTCCCTGATCTGTTCTCTGGCACCTTTTCTCCGTGACTCCATGACTAAACTAATGATGTGCAAATCTGCTGGAGGCCAGGATGTAACCTCCAGCTGCGGAAGACGCTGCTTGTGATGAACGAGTCAGCGTCTGTGCCCTGACAAGGTGGATAATGAGGGAACAATGTATGGACTCATGAATGTTTTCCTGAAAATCTGCCTGATATTGTACGCTTTCCAATCCCAGCCGATGTCACGTAGCCCTGTCTGTCTGAAAGATGACTCATTCTAGACATGCTTAGTTGATCAAAATCCTTTGAATTTAATCCAGATGTAATTTAATATATCCTCACATCATGAGCCATTTAACAACAAACAGTCTTTAACATTGTTATTGCACATACTTCCTGTTCCTCCAGGATCTGTTGTACAGATGTGGCTCCAGGGTAGGAGATAGTGGGGGTTTACAAGTGAAAAATCCCTGGTTTGACCCCAAGAGCAGACACAAATCCCTCCAGGGACACATCAGGAAGGACATCTGGAGTAAAAAGTACCAAAGCTAACATGTGGAGCTACCCGGTGTGAATAAAGGAGCAGCTGAAAGCAGTTTCATCTACACTGCATCCAGGCTTTGTGGTGACTCAAGAGACAACGATCGGGAAGTAACAGACTCCCATTATTAGATCTGAAAAACGAACAACAGGAATGTTTTAGAGTTTGCAACTTTTAAGCATCAAAAATGTTCTGATGGGTTTAAAATAAAATTCAAATCTCCGCGAAGATGATTTTATATTTGACTTTCCTTCTTCACACCCGTTAGTTTCTCCTGCTGCTTGTTAGTTTGAAACTCTGCAAACGTCCTACAACTGGAGCTCGCACGTTTTCAGTGTTTACCTTTTATCACGTGGACGCTTCGTTTTTGTAGGCGGAACGAAAGTTAGACGCCGATGCGCTGTCGGAACCTCTCACTGTGACACACAGAGGAAGTAAACAGATAGTAGTTTTATTTCTGTTCAGCGGAGACTGTGCGGCAGTAACGATGCCTTCAGTTCAGTATCTGAGAGAGTTTATCAACGAGCGACTAACTGCTGCTGCTGAACAAATATTCTTGGAGTTTGAAAAAACGATCGTCCAGTACGAGGAAGAGATCGACCGTCAGCGCAGACTGCTGGATATCACCTGGAAACCCCAAATCAAGCTGCACAGGACAGGTGAGTGTCCCTCTGAGGGAGGATCCTGATCACAGCTCTGCGGGACGTTTATTCAGCTGCGAGCGAACAAGCCGTGGGTTTCCTGCACAGCCTGAGTGTGAGCTAGTGTGGATCACAGAAAACATGTCAAAAGTCAACATCTTAGTGCAGTAAAAAAAAGAGGGAGACAGGGGAAACTGAAGGGGGCAGCAGTAGATGAGTTTAAATAACTCGGGTCAATCATCGAAACAGGCAGGCAGGGTGGAGAGTGTCACGGGTGATCTGTGACAAAAGGACAGCAGCGTGAGTGAAGGGAGTGAAAGGGAAAGTTTAAAGCTGGCAGTGAGACCTGCTGGGATGGATGTTTGGAGACGGTGGCTCTGACACGAAGACATGAGGCCGAGCTGAAGATGATCACATGTTCAGCGAGCAGCATGGATCAGAGATGAGTCCATCAGAGAGGAGAGGCTGAGAGGGTTTGGACACGTGCAGAGGAGGGAGGGGGGATATATCAGACAAAGGAGGATGAAGATGGAGAGGAGGGAAAGAGGAAGACCTCAGAGGAGGTTCATGGGTGTAGTGAAGGAGGACATGCAGAGGGCTGGTGTGACAGAGGAGGATGTTGGGGTAGGAGGAGATGGAGGGTTATCAGCTGCGACGCACTGCCAAAGAGAGCAGAGGTGCATGTGTGAAAACAGGAGAACTCAAGACCATTTTACCAAGTACATTTTAGACCTTTTAGTTTTTCCCAGTTTTCCTGAAATCGTTTGGAACTGTGGATTCACTCTGTGCTGGCCTCAAACCTTCACCAGTTTAACCTGATGGAAAAACAAAAGCCTGCTCCGACACTCCTGCCGGGCGGCCCCGTTTCTCAGTTCCTCTAACTTGTTTAGGTCGAGGAGCTCCCGTCTGCAGCTCGTCATAACGCAAACATGGGCTGAAAGCAGGAAGCTGCTTCCTGAGTGGTGACCAAACGTTCCCTACATGAGTGAAACCTCTCGTGGAAGCAGCCACAAAGAGCCGCAGATGCAGACTTTAAGTTTCACTTCCCTGTGCTGGCTTGGTTCATTTCAGGAGAGATCAGACGTTACTTCCAGCTTTGAAGTTTTTATGAACTGTTAAAGTTGCAGAGCCGCTACATTTTAAAAGATCTGTTCCTTCTTGTCCATTATGTTTTCCATGATAATCATCTTAATATTGACTCAGCAGCCCTGATTTCAAGCATGTAGATCAGCTGTGATCTTTTTTTCTTTTTGTGACATTATCAACCCTTTATCCCTCCAGACGTCCCACAGCAGCCTGTCTGTGAGGAGGAGGTTCTCCCTGAGCAGCAGCTCTGTGACCAGGAGAGGAGCTCCAGTGTGGACCAGGAGGAACCAGAAGCTCCACAGATCGAAGGGAAGCAGGAGGAGCAGCTGGTAGTCGGGCAGCAGAGCGATCCCTTCATGGTCACTGATACTTACACAGCACACATAAACTGTGTGAACGACTCTCACATGTTAGAGCGCCACTGTGTGACAGACGCGGGAAGAAGAGGGTGAAATGTGATGTTTGTGGAAAAGCCTTTCAGCACAGGTCCCGGATGATACATCGCAGGATCCACACGGGCGTGAAGCTGTACGCCTGCGACACCTGCGGAAAAGGCTTCGTGAGGAGCGATAAGCTGGCGCTCCACATGAGGACGCACACGGGAGAGAGCGCGTACACCTGTGGCACCTGCGGGGAACGGTTCATTCAGTCCGCGATGTTAAAAACTCACATGAGAAGTCACACAGGTGAGACGCTGGACTGCAAAACCTGTGGCAGATGTTTCAGTCAGAAGAGCCACTTGTTGCGCCGCATGAAGATCCACACGCGAAAGACCAAGCCGGCCTGAAACACCTGAGGGAGGGGGAGGGGCTTCAGGTATCAAGGTGATTTTCAAATCTGAGGTTTGACTATTTTTAAACTGAGATTATTTTTATTCGATTTAACCTTTGGGCCGTTGGTGAGGTCGTCCACCTCGATGGACGGGTGCTGGTCTTCGATGAGTCCTAAATAAAAATGTATGTTTCACTGATACAACACATTTCTAACATCAAAGTCACAGATTTGCTTCTTTGCTTTTCTAAATGATGTGTAAAGATTATTTATGTATCTGCATGTTTTATATGTAATTCAGTTCATCACAACAACCGTCACCTCGAGGCACTTTGTGTTGCAGGTAAACAGCTTCAGTAAATGGTAAATGGCCTGTATTTATATAGCGCTTTACTAGTCCCTAAGGACCCCAAAGCGCTTTACACATCCAGTCATCCACCCATTCACACACTGGTGATGGCAAGCTACATTGTAGCCACAGCCACCCTGGGGCGCACTGACAGAGGCGAGGCCGCCGGACACTGGCGCCACCGGGCCCTCTGACCACCATCAGTAGGCAACGGGTGAAGTGTCTTGCCCAAGGACACAACGACCGAGACTGTCCAAGCTGGGGCTCGAACCGGCAACCTTCCGATTACAAGGCGAACTCCTAACTCTTGAGCCACGATCGCCCCTATTCGATACATGTGTGCTGTTTGTCATCAGGTGACTTTATCACTGCTGTGATTTTACTGACTGACTGGGTTGAGTTTCCATGGTAACGCCAGCTGTTTCAGGCATACCTGAGAAAGTTACCGAGGTTAACATTTTCTGTTTTGGGTTGTTGTGCAATCAAGTCTCCATTTTCAAGACGTTTTCATGCTGAAAGCAGAGATGGAACATATCTGGGTCCCACTCATGAAGCTGGGTCGGTATCGGGGCACAGCGGGGCGATCTCGGCTTTCTTCCACGTGCTCTGCAGGCCACAGCTGCAGTTAGATGATGTGTACTGTTTGGGGGATCATTCTCAGCTGTGTGCTGGGCCAGATTTGGTCCTCAGGCTGTGAGGTTGACACATGAATCCTAAACCTAACAGGTCAAAGTAAATAAATATATCTGCTGCTGAGAGGTCGAGGCACAAGGCAATGTGATGAACATTTACTGCAGCAGGTTTCAGCAAATAAAAACATGCCTTTATCGTGTCGTCATCATCTGCTATCATTTTCCCGTCGTTTCACGTTGGAGCTGAATGTCAAACGGGTTTAAAGTGTCTGATATGCCAGTAAAAAGAAATCTGTATGTGTACGCTGAATAAAAAGACTTTAAAAAAGACGTTTCCAGTGTTTGGTCACTCACATTTATTTAACTTCAAAGAGTCGAGCTGTGGCATAAAAATAAAAGGGTGGCGTCTTTGTTTAGGTTCAAACATGAAGCTCACATTCAAGGACAAACTGATGAATGTCACCATTTTTCATCAGGATCAAAGTGAAAATGTTGCATCTACATGTCGACTCTGAGTTTTCCAGATAACTTACAAACTACATAATTATGAAACATCAAAAGTGATGGAATCG